TGTTGTAAAGAAGCTTCCCAGAGGCTCATCCCTGATGGTTAAATCTGTATTATTGGCTAGGCATGGTGGCACACACCTGTAATCCCAGTTTCTTAGGAGGCTGAGGCAAGAGGGTTTCAAATTCGAGACCAATCTCTGCAACTTGGCAAGACCCTGTTTTATTTTCAAAACAGCAAGTAAAAAGGGGGATGTAGCTCAGTGGTAAAGCACCCTGGTTTTCCCAGTATGGGGACCAGTGGGTGGATTTTGTACTATTATGATCTGTGCAGACTTTTGAACTGGTTGAATACAGATCTCTGCTCTCCTGCTATCCCTAATACACATGTGGGCTGAGATATCTTTGAGGATTATAGAGTCAGTTTACAGTATATTTTAGGCAACACAAGCAGCATTAAGATGGGAGAGTAAAATTTCTTAGCAAGGTGCTTAATAAAATTATTACACAAGACTAATATTAATAGCAGTAGCCGTGTTTTCTCCTGTTGATAATAAGTTGAGAACATCTTTCATACTTCTTGAAGTATAATCCAAGGAATTTCCACTCTGGTGAGGTCCTGGGATTTTTGTAGCAAAGGGTTTTGCAGACTCCTTGAATTAAAAGTTGGAAATACTTTTTGAGTCCCTTGATTTTCATGTGTTTGTGTGTGTGTGTGTGTATACATATATACAGATATATGGGGAGTTGTTTAGGGAAGGGTATCAGGGATTGAACTCAGGAGCACTCGACCCCTGAGCTACATCCCCAACCCTATTTTGTATTTTTATTTAGAGACAGGGTCTCACTGAGTTGCTTAGTACCTCACTTTTTTGCTGAGGCTGGCTTCAAACTCACAATCCTCCTGCCTCAGCCTCCTAAGCTGCTGGGGCCACTGCACTTGGCCCTCAATTATATTTCTGACACACTGAGAAGCCTAATCACCTAATTTTGGGGCCTCAGTATTCCCATTCATAAAGCCAGGACGACTCTCCACCGAATAGGAGAAAATGGCATTGTGAAGTGATAAGTACTTGGAGGAAGCATATATGTAAGAATGGCATTTTCTTACCCTCCGTCAAATTAAAAGATTATCTATCACATGAAATACTAGTCATTTAAATGTGGTACATAGGAAAGAAATTAATAATTGTACAGAAGATTTAATAGGAACTGGGTTAAATCCAGAAATTGCTCAGCACAGCTAGGATGTATTAATGTTTTGCACATGCACAGCACTTTTTTACACTCATTTCAGGAAATACTACAGAAAAAAGATAAATGTGATTTCTCTCTTTGAGCGACTTATAAAGTCACTGAGTAGACAGAGATGTGAAATTGAGAAAAAGTTAAGACTGTGTGTGATCAAATGCCAAAGTGAATGATATAGAAAGTTCAGGCTCTTGGAGGTCAAAGGAAGAGTGAGGGAAGGCTTCATGGGCAAGGATGGGCCTGAAACCAAGGCCTTGGAGGAATGTCACACTGAGAAAGTATCAGGGAAGATATTCTGGCCACAACCTGAGGAGCGAGAAGGAGGTGGTGGTCCTGATGACCTGGAGAAAGTGGGTCTTCTTAAGAGAGGTAAATATTGTGGGTAGCATAGGCCCAGACTATGAAGAGCTTTACGTGTGGAAAAAGAGCACCTTTAACTTAACAGTGTGGGTGATGTGTTGCTAGCATAGGTTTTTGGGTCAGTGAGGGAAATGATAATGTGGTATTTTAGGGGATTGAGGGTTTAAGTAAGGGTCATAAACTTGGGCAGTGTTGTCCAGTCTCACTGTTGACGAGCTTTGAGTATGAGGTTTTAGGGCACAAGGTTGGTAGAGGCAAGGGTGATGTAGAAAGAAAACAGATGTTCAAGTCCCTAGTGCGTTAGGCACATTGCTATATCTTTCACAGCATTTTTTCCCACAGAAAACTTTTGTGAATTAAACCAGAAACTTGGGCTGGGGATGTGGCTCAAGCGGTAGCGCGCTCGCCTGGCGTGCGTGCGGCCCGGGTTTGATCCTCAGCACCACATACAAACAAAGATGTTGTGTCCGCCAAAAACTAAAAAATAAATATTAAAATTTTTCTCTCTCAAAAAAAAAAATAAATAAACCAGAAACTCTGAACTAAGTACTGTTTCATCTTGCAGATGTAGAAACTGTAAGTTGCTAAGGTTCCACAACTAGCAAGAGAGCAAAGTGGCATTCTAGCCTGCTCCTATCTGATTAGAGTCCTTGCCTTCATCATTGTCCCTTGTGGAATTATCAGAAGCTCTGCTCTTCTGATCTCCACACTGCGTAGGCTTTTCTTTTTCCTGGATTAAGTTAGGTCAAAGTCAGCATATGTGAAACAGGTCGTGTACTCCAATGTAACCAAGAATCTTGAAATCAGAATGTCCCAAGCATTTAACATTCCCAGGAAATGGATCCACAAATCCTGAAAAGCTTCAGATTAGCCAAGCTAATTGTGTTGTTTCAATAAGCTACGATAGCCAAGAAAAGTCTTATAAAAGATCTGGAAAACAAAGCATTTTGTTTATCTTTCTTGAGAACTCTTTACAGGAAAGTAGTTTGGGTTAAGTGAGATATTGACAAGGTAGAGCTGAATAAGTGATCATCTGTAACTTCTCATGGCTGCTACCTCCTTGCTCTGGTGGAGGCCGGCCATCCACCCTCATTTCTCTCCACTCATTCCTGTTCTCCAGTGACCTGAAGCCTGTTAGCAGTTTCTGAGTTGCCTGGTCACGTTTCTGTGGGTGGTGTGGAGACCGGCAGCAGTCTACAGGGTGGTGGGTGAAGCATGGTGATAGGGCAGCACTTGTGGAAGTCTCAGGTGATGGAGAAAGAAGAGATATGTTACTATGAGAGAATTTGACAAACCTGTGGGCAGGTAACATTTGAAAATTGATTCTCTAACTTGGAAGAGAAAAGCAAGTCAATGTATATGAGCATCAATATGGTTTGCCAAGTTCATCAATTAAACAAGTGTTTTGAGTGGAAATGACTTATTTCTTTTTTTCAGTGATGGGGGTTGCACCCAGGGTCTCATGCATGCTAAGCACACACTCCGCCACTGAGCTATACCCCAAACCCAGAATGACGTTTTAATGTCAATCTTTCCCTCATATGTTCATTTAAAACTCAATCATCAGAGGATCTGATTAATCTGAAACAATAATGGTTTGGAGGAGAATTTTTTTAAAGGGCAGACATATAGTGTGGGCTTTTTTTGTTTATTTACTTTTCTTGTGATATTTAGTCAAAGCCCTTTGGGAAGAGTTTTGACATTAAAAAGAGGAATTTTACTAAGTAACTTTCTTTAATGAAGCTAATATTTCTCTCCCTTTATCTTACTGTGTACAGGAAGGAAAGTGAGACTCATGTGGTTCACATTCAGCATCAGGGTGCTATCCAACCTCCCCTCCTGTTTTCTTCAGTCCCCAGACCCAGACTCCAAAACTAAAGAATATCCCACCATTTCTCTTTCCCCAATTTGAGAAGAAATACAAACTTAATCTGCTTCCCCTATAATAAAAGAGTTCAGGACTTGGTAGCCACATCTCCTGCATCACAGGATGACTGCATCTTAGGTTTCTGTTTGCAGCAGTACCACAACTTGCTTAAGTCTTAGAAACCAACCAAGGTTGTGTGTCTGTATGGGTTCTCTGTTGTAATCAGCAGAAACCAACGACTCTTATTTACTTAAGCAGAATGGAATTTATTGGAAGAATATTAGGAACTCATAGAATTGATGTAAGGGGCAGAGCGAAGAACTAGGCCTGGAATAGACGGAAAACAAAGCAACTCTGACGAGGCAAAGAACCATGAACTACGTGAAGGTATTTGTACTGATTGCTGTCTGGGCAAGAATGTGGTGGTGCCCCACTCCAGGGTAGGAGCATCTCATTGACGTAGCTTGGGTCCTGTGACTGACCACAGCTTGATAAAGGGGAGGGTGAGGCCTGGATTACAGACTTACCAGGGCTTATCCAAATAAGGTCATTCTTAAGAGGGGAATCAGAATGAATTTACGGGGGAGAAGTTACGCTCCACAGCCAAAAGTAACCAGTGGTCAGCGCAGGGTGATAGAATGGATTAAATGACAGAAGAAAGACAGCACTGGTTTTCCTTTGGGAAACGAAGGGTTAGAAAAATGTGCTCACACGCCTTGGCTGTGAGGTTTGTCTGTCAGCATTGTCTGTTGCTGTTCGTAGCCTCACCCCTTCCTCCTCTCTCTCTTAATTGGAGCCTAGTGGGGCCATCCTGTTGGGATGTGGATTTGCACACGCACAGCATGCTACATGTGCATGCCAGGAGGTGCTGGTGGCAAAGCAGTTCCTCTTTGATCAGTTTAGGGAGATTAGATGTAGTTAAGGCCCTTTTCCTTGCCTGCTTCGTGTCACCCCATGGCAGTTGTTCTAGAAAATTTCACATTTTAAGCATGTTTATCAGTAGCCCAACTTTGGCCTTTTATACTCACCTGGATAAATAATTCAGGCTTCAGTCTGATTTTAGTTGTTTGTTAGATGATTGATACATACAGCATACATAGTTACTAAATAAATTTTACTTAACGAATAAAGCTGTAACTTTAAGAGAATATTAAGGTACCCTAACTAACCTTGTTATTGGAAAATGGCAATAGAATTCTATACTTCAGTCTGATTTTCACTACTTAAAAGGAGAATGCAGTCTCAAAAAGAAATGAATTTTTAATATATTGGATTGTGGGAGGGCACATACCTTGTGCTTCTCTATGAAAATTTAACAGTTACAATATACCTCCTGGTTGATAGGAAAAAAAAACATGATTAAATAAAAAGCATGACTAACTTTTTATCTAATTAATTTTAAATGATTTAGTGTCACTCCTGTTTGAGTCCCTATCAAACCCTAAATTTCTGTAGCTCCCGTAATTAGTTGTTGCTAAACAACTTCAAAATTGGAAGTTAGTCTAATGCTAAAGAAAAACACTCTGGGCATTTTGAGTGTCGCTTGGAAGAGATATAAAAAGCTGACCTACTGTGTTTCTCTTTCAGCATCCAGTGCTCGATGAGCCAATAGCTGAAGCTGTCTGTATCATCGCAGACACAGACAAGTGGAGTGTCCAGGTGGCCACAAGTCAGAGGAAAGTGATGGATAACATGAAGCTGGGCCAGGATGTCTTGGTCTCTAGTCAGGTGTCCAGTTTACTTCAGTCTATCTTACAGCTTTACAAGCTTCACCTCCCTGCTGATTTTGTAAGTATGTGATCTCATATCATCAGAGAAAGTTAGCTAAAAATACTTTCAGCCACATTTTGATTATGAAAGCAGAAATCTGGATATTGTTTTTAATAAAATCAGAGGTTAGCATGAATTAAAATGGGACATGCAACATAAAACCAGCAAACAGGATGGATTTCAGTAATTCTAGCCCTTCCATGAAACAACAGAGAGTGGCACTGACATCTTTTTAATAAGGTGTATGGCAAAGTAAAGAAGGTATTAGGGAGGGATCCAGCATAAAAGGAATGTGCAGCCATCCTCACAGAAGTATTAAGGGTAAAATAGACCAGGGTTTGTGGAAACACTTAAATTTTGAAGTACTGTATACATGTAAGATGGTATCAGTTGTTCCTTTTCAAATGGGACTTGAAGATCACTTTCATAACATTATTTTAAATATGAACAACAAAGCCTAAGAATTCCTCACAAATTGTCAGCAGTTCACCCCTAGTGACTGGAATTAGTATTTACCTTTCAGTGCATGTGTGCGCGTGATATATGTAGAGATTAGAAGAGGAAATATATTTAGTAAGGGAGGGAGAAATGTTTCAGAAGGAGGAGAGAAGCTGAAGGGCATCTAAGAAAAGTCTGGGTGAGCTGTCCTCGGGAAGACACTTCACTGGAGCAGCGTGCTTACTCTGCTCTTTCCTTCCTTCTGTGCAGGCTGCTGTCTGCAGCATAGTTCGGAACCAAAACCTCTGGCTCCTTTCTGGCCTTGGGAAATGACTCAGAGCTATGTAACAACAATGTAGGAAGATGAATATTCATTAAATATACTATTTGCCAGTGAATTGATCACTTTCCTGGATTCTTAAAGTCAAATCTGTGGCACCATAGTCCTCAGAAATGGTCAGGATTTTTAATGGCTTTGAAGAGGTGTTCTGAAATAATGATTGTCATCAAAACTGGCAGCATGGCATAGCAAAAAGACATAAATGGATTAAGGTCCCAGCTTTGCTATTGATTACTGTGTGCCAGTCACAATCCTGAATGTCTCTGAATCTCAGCTTTCTCATTTGTAAAATGGAGAGACTACAACTGTGCTGGGAGAATCTTCTGAAAATTAGGGATAGGATAATGCTTTCAAAACACCAGGTTAAAAGCCAGCATGTAGGGGCTGGGGTTGTGGCCTAGTGGCAGAGCACTTGCCTAGCATATGTGAGGCACTGGGTTCAATATCCTCAGCACCACATATAAATAAATAAAAAATAAAAGTACATTCAACAACGGAAAAATAAAATTTTTAAAAAGCCAGCATGCATACATTAGTGGCCAGTGGCCAGTGCCCAGGCTAGAGTCAAATTCAAGTTCTACTACTTACTTTGTGATCTCTCAAAGCCTCAGTTTCCTTATCTGCAAATCTAGAGAAATAATAGAACCTAACTCATGTTTATGTAAATCAGGCAATTCATGTAAAGCATTTGGAATAGAGTTAAATGTTATAAACCCTCACTGAATCGATATTATTGGCTTATCAATTAATAATTAGTTTTCTGGAACAGTATTAATTAACTTCATGGAACAGTAAAAACTGAAATACATTTTTACTAAAATCTTTATTTGGGATTTAAATTAAAGCATACTCTTGCAGGATGTCTGTCTTAGGGTAATATGAGAAGTATTTATGGGTTATTATGACCTTACTTTCTGTTCTACATTTGTAGGCAGGTTTTCTTCTACAAGCAGGTTGGGTTGTGCTGACTTAGAGGATGATGTCTCCATTTTTATGGGCAAAGAGGACATATTAGAATTCAGGTTTTTACTCTTATAAGTATTTGCCAAACATCTGTAATACATAGTTCTTGTTACATACAACATTTTGCTTATTAAAGCAACACATTATTATAGCTGATTTTTTTTACTTCATTTGGATAGAATATTTAAACTTGTAATAATAAGAATGATTTATTTAACCTGATAAACCAATGTCAAAGAAAATTTCATCTGTAGTTTAAAATTCTCTATATATTGTTTTAATGAAACATAAATGATTAGGCCCTTTAGTACCGACGGATAAAATAGCTATTTAAAATTTTAGAAGTTTGAAATTCAAGAAATACATCTCCAAAGTAAAATCCCATAAAAGAGGAGGAATTTTTTAAAACCATCATAAGTTAAGTCTTTTTGAAAAACTTTCTAAATGTTTTGATTTCATTTGATTTCATAAAGAGTTCTCTTTATTTCCACGTTGCATCATATACTTTTCATGCAGTCTGTGAAAACATGGTAAATTAGCTGTTTTAAAACAAAGGATGTTTATCAGACCCAGTGCACCTGCCTAGAATCCCAGCTACATGGGGAGATTGAAGTAGGAGGATCACAAGTTGTAAGCCAGCCTTAGCAACTTAGACCCTGTCTCAAAAAATAAAAGGGGCTGAGGATGTGGCTCAGTGGTAGAGAATCCCTGGGTTCAATCTCCAGCACACACACCACATAGCACACACGCATACACAAAAACCCAAAGATTTAATATAATATGAATGGTCTTTTTTATATTTTGGAACAGTCTTACAGAAACCTTTGTATTTCCACTCCACAAGTTAACTGGAGGCCACTTCACTCTGTTCACTGGGGGAAACATTTCCATGAGAACTGATGGAATCTCCCTGCTTTGATATCACTTAGCCACTTAGCAGTGTGTTTCATCTACCATACACAATGCATCTAAGGTTGTGAGCCAATGAGAGGCTGACAAGATCGAATCTCTACAGATACTTTTTCCATGCCACTGATCAGCCCAGATGGTCAAGATCAACATTTTCAAATGCATCTGTTAATCTTTTTACCTTGAAAATAACAGGCCTAATGGTCTAGAAGAAAAGTATGTATTATGGAATTGCCCTTGCCAGAGCCATCAGGTGTCTCACTGAAGGTGCTGGGGTGGCCATGCCTGCCAAGTACAAAAGTACTTGCCTCTGGTGAAAGACACAGATGGTTGGTATTCTCTAAAAACTGAAGCTGGACACAGTTCCAAGGGTAAAGATGTCCTGAAAATAATTGTCTTTTCTTATTTGTCATTAAGAAGACCTAGTTAAAGACACTCTCAAAAGCAAAATACAAAGTTTGAAATGACCTTGTTCCAGTTGTTCTACTTCTGGGAATGTATTGGGCCCAAATAATCTGAAACACAGGAAGAAAACAATAGTGAAGATGTTCTTCACAAAAATGCCTTACAAGAAAAATACAAATTGCTGTGTGGTTCAGTAATTAATGGCAAATTCACATTCTAAGGAATTATTTAGCCATAAAAATTACAACAATAAGGAATTCTTAATATTTTATTAGGAAGTTATTTAAGGAAATTCTAGTACTTATAGAATATCAATCAACTATGTGGAAATGCTTTTTTGAAAAAAAAAACACTAGAATAATATATGAAAATCTTGTCATTTAACAAAAACCTGATTATATACCTATTAGTTATGGGGCTTGTAGTTTTTTTTTTTTAAAGAATATTTGAAAAGGTGTGAGATTACAGCTGTACACTTGAGTTCCAGCCCTCATTGTGAATGCTGTTGACTCCACAGTGCATCATGCATCTTGAGGACAGACTGCAGGAGATGTATCTTAAAAGCAAAATGCTGTCTGAGTATCTTCGGGGACATACACGAGTCCACGTGAAGGAATTAGGTGTTGTGCTGGGGTGAGTCCTGTGAAGTACTACTGTGTCTTCTCCCTGTGATGGCCGGCCTTCGCCCTCATGTTACATCCTCTGACCTGTTCAACCTGCACCACCCAAAGCCAGGCCCAGGTTCCCTCAGACGTGTGCCTCTCAGCTCCTTGATGAACAGTATGTTGTTTGTGTCTTGATACCCGGTTTCACACCGGGAAACCATCATGGAACTTTGGGCTGGTGGTACTTTTATGTCAGTCTCCTCCCTGGTTATTTTACCCTTGAAAGAGAACATTTAATACCATTCTGTCCATTTCTAGTAAGTCAGTAAGATGCCAAAGTCAAAACTGTCAGATGTGCAGTGACAGCTCTGGTATATGTCTCACTTCCTGAAGGAGGAGTTGCAGGCATCTCCCACTGGACAACAAGGAGAAAGAGCCCTTCTCCTGGGCTTTTAGGTGCTGCCTACATGTCCCCAGCAACTGTCCCTTTCTGCCTTTCATTGTGAGCCCACTGAAAAGGAGACTTGTTTATGTTAGTTACTAATAACACGTCATCTTCCGAGAGCATTTACCATAATTTCTCTAGGAGAAATTCTGACTTGAGTTATTCTGCTTAATGTGTCAACAGAGAACTCACAGACAGGACATTGTGTCTTTGGGAAATTGTCTTCTTTATCCGTGGTGATGATTCCCTATATTGGAGTAAGAAAATACTGTGTTTATAATACCACCCTTTAAATTCTCTTTTAAGCCTGTAAGCAAAGTATTATTTTAAAACTCTGGCCTTTGCATTCTTGTCAGACTTTTCATCTTTCACACCCAGGATGTGACTGGCTGTTTTATTTGGCATTTTCTGTCACACATTTTTCTTACATACCTCATTTAAAAATATTTTCCCCTTTTGAGATGGCTACTCTTGCAGCTACTTCACAGTCTCTCTCTTTGTTGTTTTCTTTCCCTTAGTTTTGGTTAATGTCTCCTTACCAGACTCATATTGTAGTCTGCTTCATAAGGTTTCCTATTGCTAGGCGTAGTCCTTAATTTCTAGGACTTTCCCCTGGTTCCTGACGCTGACAGTCATCCATCAACACTGAAGAACTGCAAGAATGTTTTCCCCTCAGCATTCCTCTCTAGGTCTTGTCGTGTTCATACTCTCTTTTTATATCCCCTTCTTCCATGGCCAGGACCAGCAGCACCTCCAGTACTAGAAAACGCATGGTCCACCTGAATGAGATTCGTAGGTAGCTTTACTGGAGAAGGAATAGAAAACTCCACGAAGTAATGTCAGCTCCTGTTTTTGTATTTGTAATTTGTGGAATTCGAGGGAAAGAACTAGGACGGGTTCCACAAGCTGAAACAGGCCAGCTTTTTTTTTTCTCCTCCACAACTGGTAGCATTTAGCCAGTGACCGTTCTGTGTCCGTCTCTCCTTTGAGAGGCAACCAGAACTGTGTCTGTCTGAAACTTATGCTTCTTACTAGTGTCACCTTGCTCTCAGAGCACTGTGGCTCAGGAGTTCAGAGGGGATCTAAGTTGTATGACTTCTTGAACAGAGATCGCCAGGGTTTTTGAAGACATTAACTGCCATCATCATTTTCCTAAGACTAACTTGAACCTAGGTGCCAAATCAGTAGGCCTTAGGAAATGAGGAGACTGTGGGGGAATGGAGTCACATAGGCCACACAGAACAGGGAGAGACTTGAAGTAAATGGAGTTGGTGACCCTGCTGCAGGATTGGCCTTACGTCCCACCTGCAGGCAGCACAGCTCCAGCACCTCCTTCACGTTGTCCCACCTCGCTGTGTGCCCTGGGAGAGCTTATGACCTTTTCATCTGTTTTACTTTTTCATTTGTTTTCAGTGATAATCTAGCAAGCTTCGACCCTAGAAATAATACTTTAAGTACCATTCCTTTTGTTTTTAACACCCAGGATTGAATCTAACGACCTGCCGCTGCTGACTGCTGTTGCCAGTACTCATTCTCCTTACGTGGCTCAAATACTCCTATAAGCTGAAGCTCAGGACAGTTCTTCCTTGGAATAAGAAAAACAAATTCTCAACTGAAGAAGAGAGGAATAAGCTCTCTGGGACATCCAAAGCATGAGAAGAGCAAACAAATAGTCATTCCACCGTTTGTTTTGCATTGTTACTTTCGAGTGGATGCTTCATTGGAAGAGAAGACAGGTTTACTCTAAATATTGGCATTTGTGATTTTCAGGAACACTTTAGGCCTTTGTTACCCATGAATCAATCAGGGGAGAGAGTGGCCTTTCTGGTGGGGGAAAACGTAAGCACTACACTGAACACTCAGCATTTGGTACTGATTGCCTTGTGCTGTCAGGCAGAATAATGATGGGTGACTTTGGAGCAGGGAGGTAAACAGTGTATGTAACATTCCAGTAGGAAATGTTTCAGAGCTTAAGTCTGAGCACTGCAAGCTGTAGAGAGCAGAGTACACTAGGCTAAAGTCAGAACAAGGACTTTGGATTCCAGGTCAGAGTTTGCTTTTTAGAAAAGAAAAGTGAAATGAAGAAAGCCATTTTTGGCTGTAGCAGCTGTTTGCCATAAGATGTGAAAGAAAACTGCCTATTGGGAAGAGAGAGAGTGCTTTGGGGACCCTCTGTTCTCATTTCTCCTCAGAGTTTACCTTGTTTCAGATGCAGCCACAGGTAGGTTAGAGATGGATTGCTGGTGCAATACACCCAAGAGTCAATGTAGCATCCTAATCCCATCAAGATGTAGTTTGTAGCAGCAAAGCATAGTCTGACGCCATATGTTTTATCATTATGATTTAGAGTTCTCAGCAGCCTTTTCAAGAGAGGCCATTTACCAAAGTTATTTCTATAAGCTCAAGAGTGTTTCTGTGGGTGAATTCTTCCAGCCAGAGCCACTTTCTTCCTAGAATAGTTTATACAAATGACTATTTATACTTTTAAAGACACTGCTGTCCCCATGAGAAATGAAACCTGCAATAATTCAGGATTTTCAGTGAAAGCAATTAGTTTGAACATTAAGAAAAAGGTTCATACATGGCCTAAATTTTTACATTATCATCTCTGACTTGACCATTTTATAAAACCTACCAAAGTAAAGAATTAGTAGTCCAATTCACTTAAAAAAAAAACTTCAATTGTCTGTTAATATTAAAGAAACTTAGTTTACTGACCATGAAACAGTCTAAGTCCTGACATCCAGGATAAAGTAAAACACTTCAAAAATTTAAAAAATGATGGTCAAAAGACAGGAGCTAATGTAATAAGGCAAAACATTGTTAGCATTTCAGCCCTTTCTGTGAATCTTCTGTTCCTAAGAATATGAGGTGACCTCTTTTTTATGGGTTGGAATTAGTTCACATTTTATGTTTGATAAAATCCTGACCCTGTCCATAAGTTCGTCTCTCATTATGGTCTGTAATTATTTGAGAGCGTCTACAGCTGTTCCAATGGAGGTGAATGGCTGTACTGTTTATTTATTAGGAATAGGTCAGAACTGCTACCTTCCTCTTTCTCCTGTGTGCTGTGAAAGTAGATGGGTGCTTCAAGGTTCTGGAGATCTTTAATTTGCATTTTATGTCTTGGTTTCGCAAAATTGAAGTTTTCCATTTCCTTTTGCCTAACATTGGAGTTTGGTGTTTTCAATTCTCTGGTTCCGTGACATCATTGTTTGCTGTTTGTTACGGAAGGAAAATGAACCCCACCTGTAGCTCGGCCCACTCAGCACTTGCTTTTCCTTGCATGTGAATAAATTGTCAAAGCTGTCATTACAGCTCTTCCGTCTGCACCAGCTTAAAGCATTCCCCTCTGGTTCCCTTCTCCTTGTTTACATGTTGTGGGCACCTTGCCTCAGTCACCACCTTCCAGGGTTTCATAGAAAATAACCTGATTCAAAATCAGTTCAGTTCTAATGTGGGCATTGTGGCGTGCTGAAAATCAGACCCTTACGGGGAAAATTGAGCTTTAAGTGACTGATTCTCAATCCCATACATAAAAAATCTAACCCAGCTCCCCAATGCCTGCGAAAATTTAATTTGCCTCTGGATCTAATATTCCAAAACTGACTCTTAGAAAAACACCTATTGGGAAGCTACAAGTGGGTCACAGGTCGGGGTCGTCTCAGTGACACTCAGGATTCCTGTCAGAGCCGAATCCTCATATCTATCGCCTACAAAAACACACCAAGAATGTTGCTGCTCTTTTTTTAAAGCCTCCTTTAATATTTAACATGCAAGTCTTTGTCTTAAATTCAACCTCTTCCTAGAAGCAAAAAAGGAAAAAAATCTCATGGGATTGTGTTGAGGGACAACCGCTCGCACATCACAGACCACCCCGTGACTTCATTCTTGTCTCAGCTGAACAGTTGGAGGGATCCCACCTGCTCCCATGCCCACCTCAAGAAGAAAATAAAAATTTAAAAAAAATAAAGAAATCTACCTCAGTTGACAGGATTCCAACTTTAGGGTTTCTTCAACTTTTAAGTCTTACCTGTTGAGTGTAACTTTTGTGGCATCTTGCTTTCTCAAGCAAGCTAGTGAGGCATGACAGAGCAGAAGTATGTGAATGTTACTGTGATGGACCTCTTTCTAGCATGTTGCAGTTTTATTTTTAATAAATTGATAAGTGATATGAATGTAAAGGTAATTGTGTATGTTTTAAACATGACAATGAAAATTTGAAATGTAGCTTCCATACTTGTGCATAATTCCAAAGTATTTTATTTTTATCAGTGTTAAATAGCTTTTTGTACAGGCTTCAAATCCATTTTCTGAAGTGTGCTGTTTTTTAATGAAAGTAACTATAATCTTTTCACATCCCATGGAACTGCTGTTTACACATTGCAACTTTTTAAACTGACCATATTTTTCAAAATTAACTTTTTTGGAGGGAGGAAATTTCCCCCTTGCTAAATGATACTAAACTGTTGTTTGGGCTCTTATAATTAGGTCCTCAGATTTTATAAAAATTTAGTCTGTAGCTTTTTAGGTTCTTCACTAGAGTTGGTTGTATATAAAGAATATAAAGTGACCCCAAAATTCTTTTAAATGTCTGGATTTTTCCACTAATATGTACTTTGGGGAGCATTTCATTCTTGCATACTTTCACCATTAAATTGAAAAAAAAAAGTCTTTAGCTTTTCTTAGTTAATGTGAACGATTTGTTTTGTTTAATTCTTCTTGGGGGGGGGGATATTTTAATATAATTTCTGCCTAAATCAAACATCCCTCTGAATGTTAACTTTTAAATGTCAGAATTTGGTGAACCATATATCTAGGAAGTGAGATTGCAATATGCTTAAATTTGAGGCAGATAAGGAGAAAATTCTGGGAATTGTTATTGAAAGTCCATTAAGAGAAATTGATAGGACTTTATAATTTTGATGAGCTGAATAGATACCAATGTCAACGTGTGGAAATTTTTTCTTAAAACTTGTTCATGTATTATTTTGATCAATTTTTCTGTGGCATTTGGTGCAATAAACCTTTTGAATTTATCTTGAACATTTCCTGGCGCTGCATGTGATTTGTTGAATTTAATTAAATCTAGAGTCTCAAGAAACAAGTTCATTATATGTATCAATGATTTTCCACAGGTGTGTTTTGGAAATAGGACATTTTTGATTAGCAGACTGACAGGTGAGGGCTACTGCACAGCATGTAGGAGTGGGGGGCAAGGTGACTCATGAAATGTCCTGCAACATGTGAGATAACCCCAGGACCAGCAGACCTTCAAATGCCCTGCTGGACATTCATGTGGGTGAAAACCCTCTTAAAAATTATCTTACCTGAAAATTGAGTTCTGCTTTACATAAAAGCACAATGTGTTTTGTACATGATTTGGGTATATGCTGAATTTTCCAGGGATGCAACTGTTGTATACATGAAGGGAAGGTTTTACTCTGTAAAGATTTTAACAAGAATTGTTCACTACGTCTTTACAAAGAATTGAGTACTTGTGGAAAACCACGTTACCAACAGCCACAGCACTCATAGAACTCAAGTCAGCAGTGCAGTACATCTCCACAGTTCTCATTTATAGCTGTGACATCCATAAAGATTCTTTGTACAGATGTAAGCATCTGTCCACCTCATTGTATTTTCTCTGTGTGTATGTGTGTGCACACAAACGTGCAAGTGCTCTACTATTGAGCTACATGCCCAGCCTGCTTCATCATATTTTCTACTCTGATGGTGTTGCTTGCATCCACGACTGTGGAATAAAAGCTAAAAAAAGAGAAAATGCGAAGAAACCACAGGACACAGGAAGTAATTTTAGAAAGCAGGGGTAGGATGGTTCTCTGATCTTAGGAATCGAACTTCCACACTGGAAAGAGAGGGAGAGTCCTCACTTGCTTTACTTATAAGAGGGCAACATCAAAGCTTTTCCATGGAATGTTCTTTACCAAATAAGGTAGGGGGTGGGCTGTCTATTTCCTGATGGGTTGAGCTAGGAGACCTGTCCCACTAGTAGAGCAAGGGCAGCGATCTCATGCCTTGGGCAGTGTACACACGGTAATGCTGGGATAGTTCCCAAGAGAAGACCCAATTACCGCATGCTCGGTACCAAGTAAAAGACCACTCAAGCAGCTTTACAGGGAAAGCTTTATATATGTTTTATATATAAAACATCCCCATTTTCATCCAGTTCTAAAATGGATGAAAACATGGGATACTCTGTAGAGGTTTATGCTTTTAAATCCCCCCCCCCCCGCCCTCCAAAGACCACAGCGGTGCACCAGAATATACTATAAAATGTTACTTCTTAAACAGTACATCCAGGGGATTACAATCTAGGGGATTGCATTTGTGTGTTATAAATTGTTAACTTATATTTTCTGAATTTTATTTTGGGATAATAAAGGAGTATTAAAAAATATTTACTAAGAAAAGGGATGAGTTACTTTGCTAATATATTATCTCAAGAAGAAATATGCCATTGAATGTAACTTCTGTACCAAAGAATGGCATACTTTGTTAGGTTATCTTAAAGATTCTAGGGAGAAGTTATATTAGGTATTTCAAAATCCTTTTTGGTTGAAAATTTCAAGTGTTTTCCATGTTCCCTGAAGCAGTTTTTTAAAAGTGTGCCACCAATAAAGGTCTTAAATATACATGTACACCCTCAGCACATTTTGGTTCCCTGGTGCCTGGATTCTTTCATTTAATCCTCTCAACTGGGTGAGAATGGCACTGTGATGGTGGATTTTATGTGTCAGCTGGGCTTGACCACAATACTCAGTCTTTGGTCAAAGGCCAGTCTGGATGCTACTAGGAAGATATTTTTTAAGATAAAAATATTTAAATCAGTAAACTTTGAATAAAACAGATTACCCTCTATAAAGTGGGTGGGCTTCATCCATTCACTTGAAGGACTTAGGAGAGAAAAAATAGATGCCCTAAAAAAGAGGTAATTCTGCCCCAAGACAGCCTTCATCCAAATTGTAATATCACCTGTTCCCTGTGTCTCCAGCCTGCTGGCCTTCCCTGCAAATTTTGGACTTGTTAAATTAAACCAGTTCCTTATAAAACACCTCTCTCCTTCACTCTCCAAACACATACACACATGCATCTCATTGGTTCTCTGGAGATCTCTGATAAAGTTATAGAAGAGATCAGTCCAGTAACACTTAGAATGACCCAATATGGGAGACTTAGGTAGGATCAGAATAGTCACTCCAAGTTATAAGAAGTAGACTTTCTTTTTTTTTTTTAAATTTGTTTTACTTAGTTACACATGACAAGAAGTAGACTTTCAAGCAAAGAGTTTTCATATAGTAAATAGTACTGTTATCCTTTTCACAAGTAACAGTCTGAATATGTGCTGCAGAAAAGAGTGGGAAAACAAAGGAAACAACCCTTTAGTTGAAGTTTTGATTTGTCCTTTTCATCCTTGTGAACAAAAGACCTGACAAGAACAGCATAGAGGAGGAAAAGTTTATTTTGGCTCATGGTTTCAGAGGTTCAGTGCATAGATGGCCAACTCCATAGCTCTGGGCCCGAGGTGAGGCAGAACATCATGGCAGAAGTATGTGACATCAGGAAACATCACATGACATGACAACCAGGAAGCAGAGAAAGCTTTGCTCACCAGGGAGAAAATATAAACCCCAAAGACACCCCCACTGACGTACTTCCTCCTGCTCACCTATAGTTAGCATCCACTCTACCCATAGTCACCCCCCAGTTAATCCATATCAGTGGATTAATCCATTGATCAGGTTAAAACTCTCATAAACCAATCAATGTGCCTCTGAATATTCTTGCATTGTCTCACATGAGCTTTTGTGTAAGACATCTAAACAATAATAGATGGAAAGGAAGGAGGTAACATCATTAAAAGTGGAAGAAAAAAAGTTCCCTTCCTATAAAGATTCATCCCTACAGTTGTGTGTGAATTCCTATAGTTATGCATCTTCCTCTGTGTTTTGGGTACTTGGAACTCAGTTATCTCTTTGTCTCTCATCTTTAGTTCTCATTCTGCTGACTTTTTCTACTGAAAGAGTTAAAAAAAAAGTTTCACCTATAATAAACCCTAGTTTCTCTCCTTTGATAACTAGGGATTTTCTAGAGAGGTCTACTTAACCGACCTTCACTTCTTTTCCTCCCATTCATTCTCTGCTCTCTGCCACTCTCACTGAGGGCTGAGGACCCAACATCCACCTCCTTCCTTCCCATGGTAGATGAGTTTTCCAAGGCCCAGTCCGCACAGAGTGCCCTTGAGCTGACTTTACATCTCAAATCTACCACCTTTTTGCTTCTCTGTTCCTAGCTCAAAATTCAGTTTGTTGTCAGATTCTCTAGTAACTTGCCACTCAAGATCCCTGGACTAGCATCAACTAACTGCAGAAACTTTTTTTTTTTTTTTTTTTTTTTGGCACTAGGGATTGAACCCAGGGGCACTTAACCACTGAGCCCAGCCCAGCCTATTTATTTATTTATTTATTTATTTATTTAGAAACAGGGTTTCACTAAGTTGCTTAGGGCCTTGCTAAATTGCTATGGCTAATTTTGAATTTAACAATCATCCTGCCTCAGCCTCCCAAACTGCTAGGATTACAGGCATGTGCCACCACATCCAGTGAGATTACTATTAAGCTCACACTGAGTGAGTGGAGGAAGAATGTATCAATCATTGATATTTATGTCCATGTTTTGCAGTGGAGGTGGAGGGGAGTAAGAATATTTGCAAGCAAGGAAATAAAATAGAAGTGGATGATTTTAAAAGTATCATATGCTCATAAATCCTGCATTTAGATAGCTATTACTAATTTGGAGAAAGAAGTTAGCAAAAATCAAAAAGGGAAAATAACAAATGAATAGAAGATAGAACTTGAGAGACATTTTGTGATTTTAAAAAGAGATATTGGCAAGAAAAATAATTTAGAAGTAATTTGTCCAATTGAATTCTAAAAATATCCATAAGAGCATTTGGGGTAAATGTGTACAAGAATAAATATACTGTTAAATATCATCAACTGTACTTTTTTAGAAAGATAATTAAGTTCTAAACTCCAGTTTTTAAGTAAAAAATGAAAATGAGCATGAATATAAAACATCCCCAAACATGGGATACTATGGAGAGATTTATGCTTTTAAATTTCCCCCCAGGCCCTCCTAAGATAAAGTTTTACTTCTTTCAATGCATGCTTCTCACTCTTGGAGATGAAAAGTGGAAAATGTACCAGCATCTCAGGTAAGAGTGCTAATGGCCGCCACTCCTTGATGGCTCAGGGTGAGGTACCATGTTGGAGGCTTTCCATGTGTGGTATTCATTATTTGCTTTTGACTACATGGGAACACTGGCTTCAAGTTTTTTTCACAGGAGAGGATTTATACTGAGGGGGACTGGTGAGTACTCACTGAATATGCACAACTTTTGGGGATTGTCCAAAAAGTGGACTTGAAAGACAGTTTTTTATGTATGTCTGGAAATTTAGAAGACAGCCTAGGTGAAAAAGATGATTTCAAATGACACAGTATTCTGTTTATCTGTAGAAGGGAAAAGGTGGGACCAAGTGACCAACTACCTTCACGGATGTTGAGTTAAACCCACATCTGGGGCATCTGGATGTGAAGCATTGAGAATGATGCTCCATGGATCCGAGATTCCTGTCAGCCTGAATCCACTCAGGAGGAGACATCAGACAAACCTATGTTGAGAAAGAATCTACAGAACCAGCATGTAGTCTTCAAAAATGGGGGTGTGGTAAAAGACCAAGGCTGAGAAACTTCCAAATTGAGAAGACCACAGCGGTGAGAACTAAATATAATACATGACCCTAGCATGAATCCTGGATCAGGGAAAAATATAAGATCAATTAATAAAATTTTATTATGCACTTTAATGTATCAATGTCAAATTTCCTGAATATTAAAATTGTAACTGTGGTTATGTTAGAGAACAGCCTTGTTCTTAGGGAAAATAACCTGAAGTTTTGAGGAATAAAATAGCCTCATATCTGCAATTAGCCCTCAAGTGTGTGTGGGTATGGGTATGGGTGTGGAGAGAGAGAGAGAGAGAGATGTTGGGGGGAGGGAGGTAGAACATTAAACCAAATAAAATTAACAACTATAGGTCTGGGTGAAGGATATATGAGGAGTTCTTGCAATGTCCTCAGTAAATTTGAAATTTTAAAATAAGTCTTTTAAACATTTTTTTTCTTTTTTTGGTACTGGACCTCAAAATGGGCAGGCCATGACCTTCAGAACTCATGGGTCTCATGAGGTCCCAGCCTTAATAGCCACCTTCAACTTCCCAGCATTTTTCATTCTTGGCTCTGAAAGGACATGAGGGACAATCATGATACATCAAGATTCTTTTTTGGGGGGTGGGTACCAGGAATTGAACTCAAACCACAGAGAAATGTTAGTGACTGGACTGCTCCCCTTTTCCATAAAAGTGTCCCTGGGGTCAGGACCTACCAAGGAAGACTACTATGACTCCCTAGCAGAATTTTTCAAATAGACGTAATTAATTGCTGAGGAATCAGATCTCTGGTGACACAGGGTAGGTAATATTCTAGTGAGTTGGCAAGATTCTTCAATGGGGCAAGACAACTCTTTGTGTGTGGACAGGGGTCTCTGAATGGATCTGATCTATCTCCTTTTCTATCATGGAAATTTGCTGTCAAACAATATTTAAATGACTACAAAGGTAGTTGTGCTTTTGGATTATGCAGAAAGCTAAAATAGGAAAGTGGTCTATACATAGGAAATCATGGTTGAATACATACTTATGTATTCTTTCTTTCTTTTTCTTTTAGTATTTACTTGATTCTCATTTTAACTCTACAAATTTTTCAGAATAATACCCAAATATTCCTTTCTGACTTTTTAAGAAAATTATGCAACTTGCCCAAGATTTCCTAGATGGCAAAGCAGGGGAAAACTTCCATTTTGAACTAGTATATTCTTACTACGCTAACCAGTATGTGAGGTTTTTAAAGGGAATTACAGATTTACGTTCATTTTATAAACTGTTTTCTCAAGTCTTTGGAAACCAAGGGGATGGTCATTCTCTCCAGGTTAAATCAGGCAATTAATAACCATTCTAAGGACTGGCCTATGAAACTGCTTGTTTTCCTTACCTGTAAAATGGGAAAAAGACCCACTGAACAGATGTTACTATGGAAATCCAATAGAGATCACAACGTGGTTTGATAAAGCTAAAAGGAGCTATAAAACTGTTAATATTAATACTAAACAACACTCTTGACTTTGTATGTTAAAACAGACTGATTTTTTTTTTTTATGATGCTTAGAAAACAACAGGTCATACCTCTTCCTTTTCTGGTAGCTTTGGCAACCTGGAAGGCTTGGAAACTCTTGGTAATGGTGATTTACTCTGCCTAACCATAAGAGCCCGATTGGAATTTCTCTGATTGGAGTCTTCGTAATCACTCATATTCCAGGCAATAAAACCACGACCATGTCTTCCTTGCTTATCCAGGATAAACGGCTTGGGTTGCCTGAAATAGGAATAAACTGCTTGGTTCTCCAAGGGAAAAGGTCTAGAACCAAGGCCATGAGTTTTCAAAGTTGAGATTTATATTTCTCTGGTGACTTCAGGTGATTTCCAGCCAAGTGACTTGAAAAAGCTAAAGGCGTGACCCATCATCTAGCATTCTGAGAAGTTTCTGGACTCTTTCCTGCTCTAAATCACTGGACAGTCAGTTGCTGGAGATGCAAAGAACCACCAGATGGACACTTAGGAAGCTTGATGAGGGGCTGGGGCTGGGGTTCAGTGGTAGCGCACTTACCTAGTATGTGTGAGGCACTGGATTAGATTCTTAGCAGCACATATAAATAAATAAATAAAGTAAAGGTCTATCAACAATTTAAAAAAAATTTTTTTTTAAAAAAGAACCTTGATGATACTGGGTGCAGTGGCACAAGCCTGTAATCCCAACAGCCCAGGAGACTGAGGCAGAAGGATCCTGAAAGTTCAAGGCCAGCCTCAGCAATAGTGAGGCACTAAGTAACTCAGTGAGACCTTGTCCTTAAATAAAGTACAAAATAGGGCTGGGAATGTGGCTCAGTGGTCAAGTGCCCCTGAGTTCAATTCCTGGTACCCACCCCCCAAAAAAGAACCTTGATGTATCATGATGGCCCCTCATGTCCTTTCAGACCCAAGCATGAAGAATGCTGGGAAGTTGAAGGTGGCTGGTAAGGCTGGGACCTCATGAGACCCAGGAGTTCCGAAGGTCATGGCCTGCCCATTTTGAGGTCCAGTGGGCATTCAATAAAACACCAACTTTGTGATTCCAAACTCTGGCATTGAGCAATGTTTTTGAGGAAAGTTCTATGCTTCATTCTCTTTCTCCAGTGAGATCCTTGGCTAGGTTCCCAAAACCTTAAATTAGAACATTACCTCAGCCCTGCCTTCCCATATAAAGACCCAACTCTAGGGAAGAGACAGGAAAAGAACTGTACAGGTAAGGATTTGCCATCTCAGAAGATTTGAGAATGTCTCTTGGAACTTCTTTCCCGTCATTCCTTGACCTGGGAAGCCACAGCCTCTTGGTGACCACAAAAATTTCTCTTTCTAGAATCTCAGTTTCATGAGTTCCCAAGTGTGTTAGTCAACTTTCTGTTACTGTAACAAATGCCTGAGATAATTCACTTATATAGAGGGAAAAAAAGTTTTATTTTAGTTCATGGTTTCAGAGGTTCCAGTACATAATTGGTTGGACTGCTGTTTTTAGGCCTATGACAAAGCAGCACATCATGGTGCAAGTGTGTGGAACCATGTACCTCATGACTGGAAAGTGAAAGAGAGCAAGAGGCAGGGGGTGGGGTCCCAACACTCTCCTTAAGGACACTGCCCCCCAATTACCTAAAGACCTCACCTCTACCTCTGAAAGATTCCATCTCGTCCCAAGAGCACCATGCCCTGAGCCTTTGATATGTGGGCCCTTGGGGCATTCAAGATCCAAACTACAGCACCAAGTGGTTTGGACCAAGGTTTGTAGCATTGCTCCCCACTCTGGAATACGTGAGCACTTCTATAGAGTATATCAGGCACAGCACCACAGGCCTGAAAGGACAAGCTATTAAGACAAAGAAACAAGGAAGTATTTTGTGTGGGAGGTTCTGTGAGGCAAAATAAAAGCAGAGGAGGAATTGAAAATCCTGGACGTTCTCTTTCTGTGGGGGCAGGCGGGAGGGGAAGAGGAGGTCATGCCTGAGCAGAGAGCTGAAGGAAGCCAGAGGGCAAGGAATTCCCACAGCACACAGGCAGACACTCCCTTCCCATTCCTTAGAATCAGGCTCCCTGGGTGGGAGGGAAGCACTCTCCAGCAAACCCTTCACTGACATCCCCTGGCCCCAGAATAAAGTCCAGACTCCTTAGTACAGCACACGGGTTAGGGTCAGGGTCAGGGTTGTTGCTGTTTGGTTTTTCCTTTTCTTTCTTAAGATTGTCTGACTGATGGGCCTCCTGGTCTGCTCTCCCCAACCCATCCCTGCCCCAGACACACACGGGCCTTCCTCCTTCCTTCCTCATTCGATTCTGAGAACACTAAAGTGAACCTTCAGCCTGTTCCCTCAGCTGTTATTCATTCCCCTCCCTCCTCCTTTATCAAGATGGAGCTTTAAATGTCACCTTGGAACTGGGATGTAGCTAAGTGGCAGAGTGCTTCCCTAGTATGTGAGAGACCCGGGGTTCCATCCCCAGCCCTGCCAAAACATGAAAACATAAAATCAAGCCAGACTTTCCTCATTCCTGTGAACCAATAATTCATGATATTTGAGTCGCTTTATTAAAACTATTAGAATATTCTGAAATTTCTAGCTCAGCACATTCTATCCATCCAAATCAATGCTCCTCAAAGGGTTCAGAATGTGTCTCATGTTGGAATCCCAAAACCTTTACCTTGCCTGACATGTAGTTGACAACTAATCTCAGGGGATAGAGGAATAAGGTGGGGGGGCGAGGGGGGGTGGAGCAGACCTAGTGAATTTACAGATCATCTACTTCTCTCTATTCCCATCCCACCCACCTGCTTCTATAACCTCCTTTTTCTCTCCCAAGAACAAAGGAGTAGCTCCCTACAGTCTTTTATTTGTTGGTGAATTTATTGAGTTTTACTATTTACAAATACAGCTATATAGCTGGGAATAATTTCAAGAGAGTTTAAAGGGTAAAATACCTGATAGTTAGAAGGTATGGAACAGGTGTTGCTAATGGTTTAGATTAGCTTGATTAATGATGAATGAGAAAACCATTTCATGCAAATGTGCCACTTTTCTTTAATGTATTATAGAAGTAATTCTATAAATAAAGAAAATGTGTTATATATACACGGTGGAGTTTTGCTTAGCCATAAAGAAGAATGAAATTATGGCATTTACTGGTGAACAGATGGAAATGGAGCATATGTGAGATAAGCCAGAGTCAGAAAGTCAAGGGTTGAATGTTTTCTCTCATATGCAGAAGCCAGAGCAAAATAAGGGTAAAAGGGAGGGGGGATCAGATATTGTAATGATATAGGGAAGATCAGTGAAGTAGGAGAAGGACATAGTGGGGAAGGAGGGAGGGTAGGGAAAGGGGAGGATTAAACCAAATCACACTATGTGCATATATAAATATACCACAGGGAATTTCACTTCTGTACATAGATAGGTAAAAGCACCAATCAAAAATAAACAAATAAATGAGTAAAAGGAAAATCAATGGAGTACAGGAAGGATAACTGAGGGAGGAAAAGAGAGAGAGGGAGAGAGGGAGGGAGGAAGAGAGAGAGGGAGGGAGGGAGGGAGCGAGGGAGGGGAGAGAGAAAGAGGGAAGAATGGGGCCTGAAAAGGAGTCAATTAAATTCCATGCATGTATGATTTTGACAAAATGAACCAAATTACTATGTATAACTATAACGCTCTAATGAAAAAAAAAACAGAAAAGAAGTAATTAGTTTGCAAAAGAATACATACTTAGTTACATATATTTCGTTCTCACTTCAGTGCTAAAATATTTTATGATCTAAATTCAGAATATCATATGTCCCTGGAATCTCAAATCCCCAGAAGCAGTGGAAAGCATCACCTGATGTCTATCCACAATGATTCCCTCCCCTTTTTCCCACAGAGCATTGGTCATATCTAATATATATGGTGGTATCATGTTGACTCACCTTGAGTTAAATCTGTGAGTAAAGGAAAGGAACTGTTTCCTCTTCTTTGCAGTACTGAGGATGGAACCCAGGGCCTTATGCATGCTAGGCAGCTACTCTACCACTGAGCTACACCCCAAGCCCATGTTTTACTTTTTTGTTTCCTTAATGTCTACAAAGTTCCTGATATAGAACACATTTTCAATTTTACTTGTATATATAAAAACACACACAAAAGGCTGAGGTTGTGGCTAAGTGGCAGAGTGCTCACCTAGCATGCATGAGGCACTGGGTTAGATCCTCAGCACCACATAAATATAAAATAAAGATATTGTGTCTACCTGAAACTAAACAAAAACAAAACCCACACACAAAAAAATTCTATCCCTAATAAGAGAGACTATGACTACATTCAGTAGAGGGATTAGAGCATGGTGGCATTGATTTAAAATTTACAATCTCTTTTACTATTGGAATTAATTTTATAATACAGCAATATTTACATTTTTCTTAAAAAGCCATTGGCTATTTGAGAAATGACCAGTATTTTCCTAGCAGCCTGGACAGCACAGTAATGAACTGAAGATGATGATATTCATTTAGCACTCAGTTCAGAAAAGACTGGCTGGGCCTTGCTTATATAACTGTGTGAAACTGATGGGACAACTTGACTTTCATTTGGACACTTCTGCCAGAGAAAACACTCTGGGTGGCTGAAGAGGGGCCCTGCGAGAGGTGGCACTGTGCTTGATCGTCCATGTTTCTGCCTTTGGTGACTCCTCTGCCTAGGCCCACCACCATGGATGTGTGGCAGCCACTTTGATTCATGACCAAACAATTCAATGAACCCTCAGAGTGGTAAAAAATAAACTGGTTTAAATAAGGTGGTTATTCTGGACTATTGACCACCAGCATCAATCATGTCCAAGAACAACAGTTTCTCTTCTGACCCACATCGTCTGAGTTCCATCTAAAAATAGTTCCAATAAGTGGTTAAATTACTGTCTTTTTGAATTCCATAGTTTAAAAAAAGTCACTGTTTAAGTTGCAGTGAGTCAGTCTAGTCGCCTAATATAGACGCCAGTAACAGTTATTCACTTGAGTTTCAAATAGAAGAATTATGTGGAAACTTCCCTTTGGGGTTTTGTATTTTCCTTGTGGAAACATGAAGTGATGCACCTCTGTGCATTCATGAGTTTCTGGCTTGCTCTTGTTTCTAGTGCTGTATCTAGATTGTGACCTAAAGGCAGGACTCTCTAGTTTCTCAGCAAGTTTGTTCCTTACATGCTTGTTTGCTAACAGCATCATTGATTTCTGCTTTGTCCACTTCCGGAAGTATAAAAAAGCCATGAATGGCACTT